CATGTGATAAAGCAAAGTCAAAAAGATATGATATTGTATGCTCTACATGATGAGCAAAATACTTATCTGGTAATAGAATTAATCTATAACAAAACAAAAGAAAGATATTATTGGCCTACAATATATGAGAATATTAAAAATTATATAAAAACTTGTAATATTTGCCAACAAAGAGGCAATAAAATTAGAAAACAAACTCTACGACCACTCGAAGTTAAAGCACCATTTCATCGAGTAGAAATTGATATAAAAGGGCCTTTACCAATCACAAAAGAAGGCAATAGATATATTATTGTAGCCATAAACTATTTGACTAAATGGCCAGAAGTACAAGCTACTTCTGATATAAAAGCTGAAACTATTGCAAAATTTATATATGAAGATATAATTTGTCAACATGGAGCACCAACAGTCTTATTAAGTGATTGTGGTAAAAACTTTATAAGTGAATTGATTTAGAAATTGTGTAATAATTTTCAAATAAAGCATTACAAATCTTCTGCATATCAATCTCAAACAAATGGTATGATCAAAAGATTTAATAGAACAATAGGTGAAGCAATAGCTAAAATTAATAGCTATGACTATAAGAAATAGGACCAAATATTGCTATCTGTTCTATTGGCCTATAGAACTATGAAGCATAGTACAACAAAATTCATACCATTCTTCTTGATTTATGGAAGAGATGCTAAACTTCTAATAGAAACTATTATTGAAACCTATTATGATGAAGATATATCTTTTAATGAAGCTTTAATAAAATGAACATTCAAAATAGAAGATATAACTTTAAAACAACAAAAAAAAGCTATTGAAAATATTAAGCAAGTACAACAAATACAAAAAGAAGCTCATGATAAAAATATTAAAAACCCTGAATTAAAAATTGGTAACAAAGTTTTAGTAGCTCAATCTCATCTTAAAAATGTCTTCTCTGCAAAACTAGAAGAAAAATAGATTAGATTATATATAATCTATAACATTTTATTACTTGGAACTTACAAATTATAGGCAATGAAAGGATAAAAAGTAAAAGATCCTGTATATGGCAACTATTTAAAATTATATTTTGAAAGAGATCTTTCTCAACTACCTATTCTACAAATTATAATACCACAATGAACAATATTAATTGTGGCAGATTAAAATGAAATTCAGATTAAAATAAAATAATAATATAAAATCTCGAAAAATAAATTTTTTTAGTGGGTATTTTTTAGGGCTAGGGGTTAGAATTAGGGGTTAAAATTAGAGTAAAATATATTAAACAAGTATAAGTTGGTTTTAGAAGGTTAGAAGGTTGAATAGAAAATGTAGATTTCATTTTAAATTATGATCTGTGACATTAATTAATTATAAATAAACAGTAGATTGTACAACCTTAAAAACTATATAACTACCTCTATTCTTTCAAATTTCTTTAATTTTCAAATTCTTAAAATTTTACAAATTCTACTACAAACTTTTAAATCCCAATTGTTCAAACAATAGAAGCTCATATTGTCAATAATCTTCTCAACTAACTACTAGTTAAAAGAATACAAGCTCTTAAACAATTTTTACAAACTTGAAAAAACAATAATATTTTACACAACACTATTGAAATACCTGACCAAAATATCTCTATCATTGATAAAAATAGAGTCAAAACTACAAGTTCAATTGATAGTATTATTCAATAAACAATTGAAGCTTCTCCTGATTATTCTACATTATTTGATGAATTTATCAATAGCACTGAATGAAATATAATTCCTCAATCAATTGAGCCTATTACTAAGGAAATGAATATTCAAGAAGATCCAAATGAAGATTTAATTGCTAAATAACAAAATATTAATCAACAGAAAAATAAATATCTTATCGAACAAATTAAAAATAATTTAGAACATGAAATAGAGAATTGAGTTCAATTAAATTTTCCTTATCAAGGTTCTAATTATATTCAAATTTTGAATCAAATTATGATCAAAATTTATACTTTTGGAAAGAAAAAATCTAAACAAATTTAAAGATTAGAAGCTCTTTATTACTTGGGACAACTAAAAGAGAATAATAGTAGAAATATTGTTTGATATATACGTACTCAATTAACTCACTCTTTTGGAGAATCTAAATCTGCTCAACTTTGGAAACAAGCTATTTGAATCTACAGAATTTATCAAAAAGTTAGACTACAACAGTTGTATAAATCAAGTTTCATCAGTGTGTCAATGATTGGTAAATTAGATATAGAAGATTTTGAACAATTAGTTTAAAAATATTGCTTATTTATTATATTTATTTTCTATCTATTATCATAGTTATTATTTATCATTTTATTTATTAAATCATATATTATTCTATTTGTAACTTTTCTTACAGATCTAGTATAATATGGTGTCTAGGATAGTTTAGAGCAATAGTTGAAGCAGGATCCCGAACAATAGTTAAATATGTTAGATTTGAGTTTGCTTAATGATCATAAGGAATTTTACCCCATGGGAGATTTTTATTTGCTTAACCAATAGTTTAATTTAAATTGGTCAGATTTATAGATGCGTAACAAGGCATGCATTTAACTAAACTCAGTGTTGAGTTTGCGTAGCAGTTATCATTATATTTAGGCATCTTGAAACTGTTAAATCGGTCAAATAATTTAGTTACTCTAACCAATTTAACCAATCTGACTAGACCAAGTGATTTGTTTCACAGACCATTATTACAGGCCAATTAATTGGAGAACAAATAAAATGCCTTTTTCTTAACTTTTTGCGACAAAATTAACAAGTAATTTTTTTTCTTGAAAACATTTTTTAGTTTACTTTTGAATATATTACTTGATTAATCCAAACCTTGTCACTGCGTGTAGGTCACTCAGATAATAATATTCATGAATACAATATTTACTATTTAATTATGTGTAAAATATTTGTTAATCTAAGTATTTAAAATAACCTATTTTATTCGCATTCATTCAATATGAGCATAAGTATCTATTAATTCAAGTAAGTTTATTATTTTATTCGTATAACTAGTCTATATTTAATAACATAATTAATGATTATAAAGATAAATAAAGAATGTGTATATTGTAACAAATATAACAATAATTTATATGAACTTACGGCTAAATAGACTCTAATTAATAAACTAAAAAAAATCAGAAAAGAATTTATTATGTATGTTTTACAAACTAGTTGAATAGTATACAAAAGATTAAACAGTTATAATAAGATCATATAATTTTGAAGATAAGTTAAAACATATTGATTATATAGTTTATTCAACATATACTAAGCTAATTTATTTATATTTTAATCTTATATAGATTAAATATTAAAAAATTAAAGATATGGGGGTGTCAGTAGAAACCAGGCAAATTGCTTTTAGTGAGTTTTTTTAAAATTTTAAATTAAAATATTTCAACTATATAGAATTAAAATAAAAAATTTTATCAAATTTAATAGTTGTTGAGATATTTTAATTTAAAGTTAGAAAAAAATTTACTTAGAAACAATTTGCCTGGTTTTTACTGACACCCCCCATATATATTTTAAAATTTTACTTATCGTCACTATGATCTGAACCAGAAATTATTATTTTCACCCACTCCTGTATAACACAAGTTTTATTAATTTTGGATAATCTAATGGATATATCAAAAAAATATCCATCAGATAGAAATAGTCATTATCTAAGTGAATGATCCTATTTTATTCATAATATAATCAAAAATTCTGATCATGAAAAATGTACGTATTGCAACAAATATAATATGAGTGATACATAATATAAGGTATGTATATATGTATATGATTTTGATATAACAATTTAAAGATAAACAAGTATGAACAAAAAGATTGATAATAACATGAAAGAGCTTTAACTATTTTTAATTACCTTTCTAATTTCGCTACCTTTTGTCAGTTTCACCAGTTTTTACTATTCGCCTTTTTAATTTTTTTTTGCCAAAAGTTGAAACTAGGTTTTACCTTTCGTATATCGATATCATATTGGGTTGCTATCAATAGAAATCAAGCAGATTTATCCAATAAATCTGCTTGATTTCTATTTGTAGCAGCTCATATCGGAAAGCTTTCTGGTTAGGTAAGAGATAAATTATTGCATAACAAAGTTTAGTATATCAGGCAAAACTTAGAATTGAAATATGCTGCCATTAAGCAACTTTAATTAACTTATGAGCTATCGCTTTTTTATTATTAATAATTAGGTATTGGGGATTCTAGTATGTTCCGATCTTGAATTTTGGTCAATTTTCTGAATTTTAGTTGCATAACTAACTTTTTTCTAGATGAGTAATGATAAGAAAAAATTCATAAGCCCAAATTTCAATTTCTATTAATCAGATTTCTGGAAATTGTGATATTGTACAATTTAATTTGTTTTTTAGTAATTTTGGATAAATATAATATAGGAGTCTATATATCAAAATATCGAATAATAAGAATAGTAATGTTATTATTATGTTGACTGAAATAGAAAAAATTGGTTTAAGTATAATCAATAAAGATTTAAGCTTCATATTTGCTAATGAAACAATTTTTTATAATGAATTTTTTGGTTTATTTATTAATTATCAATAAAAAAGATACATATATTTAATAAAGATCGGATTTGAAAATAATAATTTTTATTCAAGTTTCTATTGCTAAATTTTTTTTTTAATACCAAAAATAATATTTTGTTATATGCACCGATCAGACTATTTAGAGTGGTCAAATTGGTCTGATTGGTCTGTGTACTTATACTTTTTGACTAGTTTGATCAGACCAATTCGACCAATAACCAATTGATCAATGATTAGCAAATTTATAGCCGACTACTAGATTTAACAATGCTAATTTTAATATAATTTTCTCTATTGCTATACATATTATCTCTTTATAAACTATCGTTACTAATTATTTTTATTTTTAAATATCGTCTTTATCTATACATATTCATTATCTTTATATTTACATATTATTGTTGTTTACATATTTTTTATACATATTATGGTTAGCTGGAAATACTCAAAAGAACGTTTACAAAGAAATCCTTTTGTTGCTAAAGTTGTACGTGTGAAAAAAGTAATTTGTATATGTGGAGATACAATAAAATTTAATAGGAAATATGATAAAGATTATATTAATTGGTATACAAATGGTCTAGAATGTAAACGGAAAAAACAAAAAAGTATTTTGTGTTTTTTTTAACTCAACAGATAAGGTAGTTGAAGAAGTTGATAATATAAATTTAGATGATGATTGAAATGATTAAGAAAGTGAAGTAGAAGATGTAATGGATGATGATATTATTACAATAGATGAAAATAAGGATGAAATTAATAGAGAAGAAAATGCTAACATAGAGATTATTAATCTAGTAACTAATCAAACTAGTAGAAAAAGGAAGCTATGCATAGGATTATATTTAGATTTGATTAAACAATATATTGATAGAACACTAGCATGTTATAATAGAGCTCACCATGTTGAAGTAATTGCTAAAGAAATGTATCCTGGAAAATTTTTTTACAAGTTTACAAGAAAAAACTTAAACCATTTCAGAATCGTGCATTAAATCGAAAAATTCATACAGAATCTCAATAGCATGTTGATAAAGATTGTAAGTATTTATTTATATTTGTATTTTTTTTATTTTTATCAATTATTAATAACAAATATTATTAATAGGTATTAGTGTACGTGCTAAAGAATATACAGGATATTCTAAATCAGGAAAAATAATTTGTGATGAATGTTTAATCTTAAAACATAATTTTATATTAGCAAATCATCTTGCTATTCCAAAACAAGCACCAGAAAATCTTAAATTTACACCAAAATTTTATTTTGAGAATAATTCCTTAAAAAAGCATTTGCAAAATCAAGACCTTTGTAAAATTTGGTCTGTTATTAAAGATAATTATAATACAAATATATAGATTATATTAGCAAATAAAGCAAATAATAGTGCATTTAAAGACAAACCTGTATTTACATAACTTTGTGAAGTAATGATTCAAGCTGCAATTCGTAAAGATAATAATAAAGACAAACAAAATATTCGATATAATGAAGATTTTACAAACTTTCTTGTAATATTAGGAAGTTTTAGTACTTGGGCTCTTGATCTTTTTCATCAAAATTTGGAAGGATGTACAATACAAAATATTCAGTATTTTTTTTTATTTAATATTTATTTAATTAAAATTTTTAATATCATTTTTTAAAATATCTAATATTTTTTATAAAAATTAGTAAACTTCGAACTAATGATGAAGATGCCCTTACAAATCTTAACTTATCATTTGAAAATATTGACAAATTTAAAAGGCCAATTGATACATTAAATTACCAGGACCTATTGTTGCTATATCTGATAATACCAAGTTGAAGCCTGCTCTTTGTTATAACTCTGTTTTGGGCTATATTATCGGGTCAACACTATCTATTGAACAAACTAAAATTAATACATATGAGGATATTCAACCGATTATTAATAATATTAAAACAAAAAAAGCAGTTGCGAAAGATGTACGTGCTTATATATTACAGGTAATTTATTTATTAGCTTTAATAATTATATAATATAAATAGTAATATTTACTATTTAATTTATTAGATACCATTGCCAAATTTTCCTCCAGTAGTTATTGCATTAATTGCCAATAACGGATCTGATAATGTATCAACTATAACTGGCTTTTATCAAGAATTATTAACTCAAATAGCACCACAACTTAATCTTTCAATATTATCAATTGGATCTGATAGTGCTATCGTTGAATTTAAAGCTCAAGTTGCAATTAAAATATATTCAACAGATGAACAATTAACTTTCAAAAATGATAAACTCAGAGTTGATTTTAGCTGCCCAATTTTTCTAAATGTAGGATCTGTTATTCATATACAAGATCCTAAGCATGCTAAAAAAACTAGCCATAATATAATTATGTCTGGTGCTCGTCTTCTTATCCTTGGAAATTTAACTGCATGATTTGAACAATTATTAAAATTATCAAATCTTTCTAATTCTGTAATGTATCGTTATGATATAGTAAAGCTTGATCGTCAAGATAATAGTGCCACATATCATGTATTTTGTTTAGAAAATTTACAAAATTGCTATAAAACATATAATATCGAAGAGAATATGCAAGAACTTTTTGTATATCTTTTTATTATGGGTTAGATAAAAATAATTTATATATATATTATTATTATTATAATTTTTACTTATTATTTAACTTTATTAATCGTAATTTAAAAATTAGGTGAACTTATCAATAACTACTTAAATCGTAAAATACTTCTACTAGAAAGAATTAAAATATCAATAATATCTTTTTTCTTTTTACAATTTTGGAAAGAATATGTAACAAATATAAGCAAAAAGTATCCTAATTTTATCTTTATAAGCAAGAATTTTTTAGCAGATCAAAGCTTTGCAATTTTTATTTCTCTTGCAGAGTCTATAGTTTTGTTAGTAAAAGCATATTGAGAATATTATCCAAATTATCCACTTTTATCATGGATGCATAGATCAGAGGCTTGTGAATACTTTTTTGGTATAGCATATCAAATAAATTCTGATTTTAATTATTCAGAATTGTTACAATTAGTTCTAAAAATTTCTTAATATGCCAAAGTATTAAGAACAAAAAATATTACATTAGATAAAGAAAAATCTGTACATGAGGATAAGTAAATATAATATTAATATAATTATTGTCACAGATCATAATTTAAAATGAAATCTACATTTTCTACTTAATCTGTTAACTTTCTAAAATCTACTTATACTTGTTTATTATAATTTTACTTTAAAACTAATCTCTAACCCTAACCTCTATCTCTAAAAAATACATCTCAAAAATTTTATTTTTTAAGATTTTATATTATAATTTCATTTTGATCTGGATTTCATTATAATCTGTCACAATTATTGATTATTAAATTATCTATTTAATTTCAATATTTTTTTTTAAAGATATCATTATGATTATAATATAAGAAATATTAATTCAAGCAAATTAGCAAAATTATGTACTTGGCCATCAGATATTAATATTGCAACAACTATTAAATATTCTTACAAATTGGCATCTGAACTTGCCAAAGTACTTGATATGAACTCGACTTCAAATACAAATAATTCATTATTACTTCTATTTGTAATGATAAAGACACCAAATTTGGAAATATTAACTGGAATTAAATCAAATTCAGAATTTGAAAATAACTCGAATGAATTTTTTAAAATTGATAAAGAAATCTCTAATGCAATTAGTCAAGCTTTCAAATATACCACCAAAGCTATTAATGATATTTTTGATTTATTGAATATTAAAGATACTGATGATCAAATTTACCAAACACAAATTATTTCAATTTTAAATAATTTAACAAGAATCTTTAATAATAAGCAAGTTGAACATAGTATAATTTTTTAATATTATATTTATCAAAACTTTTAATAATATATTAAGTGTTTATATAATTTTAAAAGATTCTATTATTAGATATACCTTTTTAACAGGAGAGTTAGATTATTCAAATATGATTGTATTATGAAGACATCATGAAGCATACAATTTAAAACTAATTGAAAAACAAAATTATACACATCTAATTGGTTATGAAAAGTCATATACTATTAATCTAAACAAGGCTAGTTATATAATTTCACAACTTATAAACAATACGGATCCTGCAATGTGATTTATAAAACAATATAAAAAGCAATAGAAAAAAAATTGGAAAACAATAACTACTAATCTTGCAAGTTTACAACAATCGGAATTATCAAAGCAAAGACGAGTTGATAGAGTTAAAAATGAAAGTAAATATATTATTAATATAGTATATAATTTATTTATATAATTTATTAATAATTTATTATTTTTATAGTTAAATATATTGAATCAGCAAATATTATTTAAGATTTTCTATTACAGCAAGATGATTATGTAATTGCACCATATAGAACAAAAATTTGTATTGCCAAAGTAATAGCAATATATTATAAAGATTATGGTAATCATTATTATAACGAAAA